GCGGGATAAGGACAGCTGTCCCGGTATCGGGTACAGTGCACTACAGTGGTAACAGGACGGTATAAGAGAGTCGGAAATGGGAAGTTGGAGACGATCGAGTACAGCATCCATTAAGCGCAGGGATAAGGAAGAACTACCGCGCGGGTATGAGTGTCGTAAGATGGAAGTGAAGATAGCAATGCAAGTGCGCCAGTCGAAGGTGTATAGGGCCTGCATAGGACATAGGAATGTTTCCGGGTAACATACCCGCGGAATAGCCAAAATTATTCCGGATGTCATCTAGCTCACGGATGCCTACGGAGGAGAACCATTGAGCTGAGGCAAACAGGGACACGTGATAACGCATGGATTTGTCTTGCAGCTCATCGAGCGAAGGGTCACGGCGGGCGACCCAAGATGAATGGTAACCGGGATGGAAAGCCGGTTCGGTAGGGTTGGTCACACGGGGTAGCCGGGGTATGGAAGGAAGGCTTCGGGAGATATCGGGCTTGCCGGAAAAGCCAACGCTAAGACGTTTACGCGGGGGAGCATCGTCCGAGTGCTCTGACTGAGAAGGCAGCATGGTTTCGTCTTGCTCTCGCGCACGCGCTCACCGTCGGCCGGAGGGGAGACACGAGTTGGAGATCATGGAGCGAAGCGCGTAAGGAAGAGTGCTCAGAAGGGGGATATGTAGTGCAATATGGGGGTCTACAGGGGGGTGAAACGAAAGGAAATTAATTGGATATGGCAAATATGTAGTGCACTGTACACTATAGCGGGACAGCTGTCCCTACCCGCCAAAATCACGGTGGTCGGCTACCACGTGTACCACAGGTACACGTGGACTCCACCTGTCCCTCGGCCGGATCCCCACCGCTGGTCACGTGTAATCCCTCTGCCACACCTCGGGGCTACACCCGTATATTATAGTTGTTCTAATTTATAGTGTAATTTAGCTTCCGGGCGAGTTTGAGACCGAGTATGCAACTCGAATGTTATCCGACCTCGCGCGGTGTGGGGACATTCACTCCCCTTATGAAAACACTGTCGCGCACTACAGCCACGGGTGGCAGGCTGTATGCAGAGCGACGCACGTTCGGAAGCGTAAGGGAATAACGGAAAGCACCCGGTGGATGACCGGAACCGGGGTCCGGGCGCGGCTTGCGCGGTAGAAAAGTAGCACGATAGTCAGAAAAAAAGGGGTAGAATTAAGGGAAAAACAGCGCTAAGGGAGCGAGTCGCACAGTAGTTAACGTAAGTCTCGCGCGGGGGGGATCGACGCGCGCGGGGAAGGCGGGTGGTATTCTAGGGAGGTAGATGGCTCGGTCTGTATGGGCGAGCCAGTACCGAGTCGAGGCTACAACCTAGAATCCAGAAACCAAGGTAAAAGACCCGAGGCTTCGTGCATCTTTACTTTGATGATCGGGTTGACTATATAGTCCCCGTCGCCGTGATGGCGAAGCTAAACTATACGGTAAATTAGAATATCTAGAATATAACGGGTGTAACCCCGAGGGGACCAAATAGAGCCTCAATAGGGGAGGAAGGGACGACCTGTGTTCACTGGCACGGTCCGGCGGCTAAATACGGGACGCCACGTGTACCCATGGTACACGTGGTGGCGGTGCGCGCGATTTTTTTGCGGGTTAGGGACAGCTGTTCCGTCATAGTGTACAGTCCACTACACACACGACCTTGTTCATAGAGGGCCTCCTTCCGCGATCAAGCAGTTAGTGCTCCAAGCAAGGGAGAATCGCCCCCGATCCTCCTTGGAGGACACTGTGGCCGAAACCCGCGCTCAAGGGGCGCCCAGACGGCTGGCGCGAGAAGACGCGTTGATTTCGCGAAGCCCGCCGCCAACCAAGTGTTCAACACTTGGTTGGCGACCAAGCTGGCTGTGGCAGACAGTCTGCTCTCATCGAACTCCGTGGGTCTGACCCCGAGCTATCATACCGGCCTGGACGCCGAGAATTTTCTCGCGAATGACAAGCCCTTCGCCGCCACGGCTGGGTGCCCGTCATTTCCCACAGAGGGATCCTCATTCAACGACAAGGATTCGTTGTTCTACGGAGAGCGGCGGCCGGCCTACAAGGACCATCCCAGGATTCCGAGACCGCGCGGGGCGTCTCCCGGTTTCGCAGGTCGAGAAGGACCACGGGACATGAAGACACCTTCCCGGAAAATCATCTGCTATACATGCTACAAAGTCGAGGATCATATTACCCCCGAATGTAACATGAAGGTGCGCCATGTGTCGCTTGTTCCTCATAATTTTGAGAAGCTCACGGCGGCTCAGAAGGCCGGTGTTCCGGCAGACGCGTACTTGAGCGCCGTGGCCCTCCTCAGTTTCGAGGCTAATCGGCTGGTCGCACCCGTCTTGCCGTCGAAGTCTCCATCCACCTCGAAGAAGTCAAGTTCTCTGACGGCAAGACCGCACCTCCGAAAAACTAGGAGACCTACAGCAGAAAATCGCTCACATTCCATCGCGGGATACCGTGTCACCCCCGCCCCCGAAGCCAGCGATCCGCGTCTTGGGACGGAGACACGCTCGCCAAGCCAGTCCCTCCAACCCCGGTCCGACGGGCATGGGGACGCTTCGCCGACCGTGGCGTCTTAACAACGGGAGGCATTCCCCAGATTACAGGGCTGTGGAGCCAGCTTCTACACTGTCTCCACGTAATTACATGGTCTACGCAGACCTTGGGCTCACCACCTCCATCATGGTGCGTCAACTGACCATCCTGGACACTGGTGCCGGCTCCAATTTTTTCCGCGCTGACACCGTGCCCAAAGGATGGGAGAACTTACTCGAACTGGGGGAAGTCCCCACTATCGCCGACGCGAATGGTCGGCCGTTACGAACAAGCGGGTCCATCAACCTCGTTGTTTGACTAGCAACTCGCACCATGAAATGCAATTTCATAGCGTGCGAGCGCCTAACAGCTGCAGGCATCCTGGGCTGTGACTTTAACGACAAATTTGTCGAGGCCATCTATCCACGTCGGAAGGTGGTAGAGCTCGATGATGGGACAAAAGTCCCCATCGTGAGAAAACCGGCCACTCGTCGAGCCGTCGCGCCTCCGCTTCCCTCGGAACAGGAGTATGACAACGACCCGGGTCGAGTCTCCCCGAAACTCAAGGTTTCTCGTCCCGTCCTCTTATAGCCCGGTACACAAGTCTGGGTGCCAGTGACCAGCGGTCGCACGCGTCTTTCCGTCTGCGGTCCAACCCGCAGCTATATGCGGCACATCGCGTCTCCCTATCAAATGGAGTCGCGCAGATCACCGCCCTTCGAGAGTTCAAGGTCTTGGTGGCCAACTCCGCAACGGCCCCCAAGCGCCTCTCGAAGAATCAGGTGCTGGGGTACGTTACCCCCCATCCGCGTGCAATGATACGCACTGCGATTCCTCTCAACGCCCCCCTGGGGGGGGATTTACAGAAGGGGACGAGCCCGAATCCGAGAAGGGGGAGAAGTCACCCCCTGCTCCGTTGGAGGAAGACCCTCAAGGTATTGACCTTGTCTCCCTTCGACACCTGCCGCCGCATTTCCGCACAAGGGTGCGTGACATGCTTACGCCGTACTCCAGTATGTGAAGTGGGGACCTCGGAGAGGTCCGGGCGACTCAGCACCGGATCGAACTCAACCCCGGCTCGGAGCCGTTTCGATGTCAGCCATATCGTGCTGGACCCTGGTCCCGACAAACCGAACAAGACGCCGTGGATGGGATCATCTCCCGATCACAATCAGATTGGGCGTCCCCGCTGGTTCTCGTAGCCAAACCAGATGAATCCCTCTGTTTCTGCGTCGATTACCGACGCTTGAATGCGATGATGTAGCATAAACAACCTCACGGAGAAGGGTATTTGCTCACAGCTCGACGGAGACCCCGGATCGGCGGAAGACGGGCAAAAGAAACACCACCGGCTATGGGAACCGGACGAGCCCGGGTAGCGTGGTAGAGCGGGATCGGAGGTGGTCGCGCGTGCATATGAGCGGATCGACGCCTCGACGCCCCGGCGCAGTACTGGGTAACGGTCCAGTACCATCGGGCGGAGGCGGATCCGGCTCGCCGCGCGCGACCACTACCCGCGGGGCTCCGTAGTAGGCAGACGCGAACGTCGCTCGGGTAGTCTGGAAAAAGCCGGCGGAACCTAGGTGGTAGGCTCTGGACAAGCCCGTGCTTGTCCTCTCTCCTCCGCCGTCGGTCGGCTCATATTTAATATACAAACCTCTATAATAACACTACAATACCGAGGTACTGTAGTGGTCTACTGTAGTGCAGGTCGTCCTGCACTGTACGGTGTCAGCATCGGTGCTGACAGTACACGTGGTACCCGTGTGTGCGCGCGCTTCGTACGCGCCTGGTACATGTGTGCAGGTGTGCCGTGGGGCACACGTGGGCACGCGTGGTGGTACTGTAGAGCGTGGGGCTGTACAGCAACTAAATCAATCTGAATCTAATCTAATGTAAATCCCCCAGGGGGGTTATGCGACAGATGACAGTCCGGGATACTTACCCAATTCCTCGTATGGACGAGTGTCTGGACTCGCTCGGCAAAGCGATCGTGTTCACAACTCTAGATTGTAACTCGAGTTATTGGCAAATCCCCGTCGCGGAAGAAGATCGTCCGAAAACCACGTTCACGTGTCACGCCGGTACCTATCAATTTAACCGAATGCCGTTCGGGTGAACGAACGCGCCCGCCACCTTCCAACGGATGTAGGACACATTCCACTCTCCGGATACCGATGGAAGAGCTGCCTCATCTACTTGGATGACATTATCATATTTTCGAAGGATCATGAAACTCATCTGAAGGATGTCGAGGTAATTCTCTCTGCTCTACAACAAGAGGAGCTATCACTGAAGTTGAACAAGTGTAAATTCTCTAAGGACTCCGTGGAGTACCTGGGTCACATCATTCGACCCGGGGAACTTCATTTCCACCCGAAGAATGTCTTGGCGTTGGCCGAGGCCAAGCCGCCACGAACCCAGACCGAGCTTCGCTCATTTTTGGGTATGTGTAACGTGTACCGACGTTTCGTCGACCACTTCGCCCAGATGTCGGCGCCCATGACGTCCATGCTCAAGAAGGTGGAGCCCGACCGGCTCCCCGAACTGGACGAAGAACGCAGGTCTGCCTTCGAAGCCCTGAAGACTTGCCTGATTTCCCCGCCGATATTGCGACTACCGTGGCTGGGGCTACGGTATTCCCTCGACACGGACGCGTCTGACGCCCAAATCGGTTGCACGCTATTAAAGAAACACGATGATGGTAACAGATATCCCATCGGGTTCTGGTCTCGGACGCTCTCGTTGGCGGAAAGGAATTACTCCACGACGGAGAAAGAATGTTTGGCCATTGTATGGGCCATTCAGGCGCTGCGTCCTTACTTGGGACGCGAGCGATTCACAGTTAACACCGATCATCATTCCCTCCGTTGGTTAATGAATCTCACCGACGCAAGCCGGCGTTTAGCACGGTGGCGTTTACGCCTAGCCGAGTTCAACTTCGACGTCACGTACGTGAAGGGCATCAAGAATTGTCTCGCCAACGCCCTTAGTCGAATACCGGCTACAGGGGGCACAACCGTCCCTATCGACGAAGAAATACCGTGCTTCTCCGTTTTGGAGTTTCACGAAGACAAACCGGAAGTGGAATCCGAGGAGTGGGACGACGACATTCAAGACGGATGCTTCGCCCTCGCAACCCGGCTTCCAAGGCCGCAATTACACACGACGAGATTGTACTCACTCAACACTCCGACCCGTTCTGTAAGGAGATCACTTGTCATCTTCAGGAGGGGGAGGGAGTGGCCCAAATTCGCCTTTTCAAGTTCTTCATGAACAAGAAAAGGGTATTTTGTCGGAAAGCGCACCTTGATGGCGTTGAGTAGATCGTCGTACCAAGCACTCTGCGCGAGTGAGTGATGTATCTGGCCCATTACCCCGCCGCCTCGGGGCATCCCAGACGAAGGCGTCTGTCCTACACGTTAAGACAACGATACTACTGCCCGAGCATGTTGGTAGACGCATACGCCACCGTCCGAAGGTGCTCCGACTGTGCGAAAGCTCGCATTAAATTGCGCAAACACAACGCTAAGCTGAAAACGTTCCCTCCGATGGGACATTTGGAGTTTATCACCATTGACATCTTAGGCGAACTCTCCAGAACTCCAAGAGGTAATCGATACCTCTTGGTAATATCGGATCGTTACTCAAAGCTGACCCGAACGGTGCCGCTGAAGAGAATAACCGCCGAGACCGTTTCTCAGGCGTTTGTCACCCACTTGGTCTTCGTATACGGAGCCTCAGTGAAGCTACTCTCCGACAACGGGAGTTAACTCAAATCAAAGATTTTCCTTGCCGTGTGCAAAATTCTCCGCGCCAAAAGCGTGTTCACCACAGCGTATCACTTTCAAGCTAATAAACAAGTGGAGAGATTCAACCGCACCCTGGTATCCTCCCTACGGCACTACTAAGCTGACAACCAACGTGACGGGGATCAGTTTACGGACGCGCTAACTTACGATTACAACTGTACCGTGAACCGCATCATGCTGTTCACGGTAAAAGAGGGCTATTGGCTTCTTCGCGCACTCTGTCGTCCGGCTCAGGTCACATTGGCCCTAACGGAGATCGCTCCCTATTCAGACAGTCCGTACGCTCTGGTTCCTTCGTGTGGCGTCCGTGGCGTGCGGGAGTCAAATACGGCTTGGCTTCCGAACGTCCCCTTGGTCTCTAACCGCAGGGGACTAATTTAACCGTTACGGAGCGGTTGAATGTAGCCGAACGAGACAGTGGAGGGCCCGTCCTTAAGCGTGAACGTCTGCGTTCACGTCCGAGGTGAGGTCCCTGCCGGTACGCCTCCGGAGGCGTTGGGCGTAACGAGACACCAACTCCTGTGTGACGTGAGTCCGTGCGGTCCAGGTGGCCGTGTCATAATCCGCCCACTTGATGAGAAACTCCGTATTCGCGTCCTCCATGGCCGGATGCCGGAGTGGTCGCTCGACAGCGTACTGCGTGCGCTCGGTCGGTAAGGTCACCCGGCGTTGTTTTACTCGTTCGTGGCGCGTCCGTCGGCGGTGGCGCGTACACGCAGCGGTCTGCGGAGATGCGTTCGGTGACCCCATCACGATCGATCGTGATGGTTCGCTTGTCATTCGCGAGAACGCGGTATGGACAAACGGCGGGCGACGCCAGTTTGTTAGACGTCTTGGCCCCATCGGCGGGGTTCAGGTAGACGTAATTACGCGGCTTGAGACGCGCGTGGATCCGCCTGACGCGCTTATCGAAGTCGCGCTTGTACCGAGCCTGCGTCTGGCGCAGGCTCGCGTAGGCCTTCTTCATCGTGTCGTCCAACGTCCTGAGGAACTCAGCCCGCTGACTCCTCCTATCGGAAGGGGGCGCGTCACTGTCGGCTTTACGGAGAGAGAACTTGGGCGGTGGTCGGCTGGGGACGAGCTCGAAGGGCGTCGTGCGCGTGGTACGATGTACGTGGTAGTTATACGCATACGTGAGCGGCCCCACGTACACATCCCAGTCTTCCTGATTCTCGCCGACGTAATTGCATAGCATCGAACCGATCGTCCGGTTGTATCGCTCGACTTGCCCGTTCGTCTGGGGGTGGTACGCCGAGGTGTACAAGTTCGTCATCCCCAGGAAACGGCACGTGCTGTGGAGGAACTTCGCGTTAAACTGCGGTCCGTTATCCGACAGTAGCGAGCGTGGGACGCCATATTTAAAGACCCACGCATCGCAGAATGCGACGGCGACGGTGTACGCGGTTACGGTCCGCAGTGTCATTACTTGAGTCAGCTTTGTGAAACGGTCCGTAATAACGAGGAGGAACTGTTTTCCTGCCTTCATCTTCTGGAGCGGACCCAAAATGTCAATGGCGAGGCTCTCGAGCGGCCGAGTTGCTGGGAACAATCTCCAACGATTGAGGTGTTTCCGCAACTTGACCCGGTTCATCGCGCAGGTCCGATACCCTCGCCCCGTAGCTGCGACATCTGCGGCGAGATGGGGCCAGTAGTACTCCCGACAGAGCGCGAAGTACATACGGTTCTGGCCCGGGTGCCCCGCGATGGTCGGCGCGTGGCAGAGCTGAAGCAGCCGAGCTTGCAGCGTTCGAGGCACCACGATCTGCACGAGGTCAGGGTCCAAGGGGTGTCTCCGTTTGAGCATCCCGTGGTGGTCCTCGAAGAACGCGGAGTCCCGGGACTCTGACTGTCGTGCCAGTACGGTCTGGCAGAAGTCATCCACGCGTTGCTCTTCGGCTATCTCCTCTAACGTAAGAGGGGCCAGAAGGTCGTCCTGCGGAGGGGCGACCGCGGAGGCGGGCGCGCCAACTTCGGGTTGTTCGGCGCGCTCGATGTCGACGGCGTCGAAGTCCTCGTTCTTCTCCCAGAACGACGTGGGTCCTTCGAGAGCGGGGGCCTCGTCGTCGTCCCCGGCTCGTCCCGCGTCCGGACGCGCGACCTTCTTCGCGATCCGGCTTCGTTCCTTGTCGTCACGATGACATGAACGGCATTGTGATCGCAACTCGCGGTACAGACGTGGTCCGCGAGCTCGTCCGACACGTCACGGACGGTTGTGCCGGCGTCGAAGGTGGGAATGACGTCATCCACCTCGACGACCGGGCGAGGGTCATCGACGACCCTTGGCGAAACGAGGCGTGACAGGGTGTCCGGAACCTGAAGCACGCGCCCGGGGCGGTACTGGATGGTGAAGTCTTATGCCGCCAAACGTGACCGCCACCGGGTAAGTCTTCCGAAGCTCTCCGTGAGCGACATGAGCCATCGGAGGGCGTCATGATCCGTCCGGACGGTGAACTTGGTACCTTCAACGTACGGACGAAGTGTGCGGACGGCCCACACTACGGCGAAGCACTCGCGCTTCGTAGCGCTGTAGTTGTGCTCACTGTCGGAAAGTGAGTACGACCAATACCCCACCGGGCGCCAGTCGTTGGCGCCTTCGTGTTCCTGGAGCAACGCACAGCCCAGTTTATAAGCACTAGCATCGGTGTAGATCATATACGGCTGACCGTATCGCGGCAATGCTAGGATCAGCGGGGAAATCATCCGCTCCCTCAACGCTTCGAATGCTTTGAAGTTGCGGCTCCGTCGGGTTTTCGGAGTCGGGGTCTGCGTCTTTACGCGTCATGTCCGTTAATGGACGCCCAATTTTCGCGAACCTCTTCACGAAACGGAGGTAGACGTTGCACGCCCCGAGGAACGACCTCACCTGCGTCAAGGTCCTCGGGAACGTGAACGTTCTGAAGGCGTCCGCCGCCGCTTCGGCGACGCTCAGCTTACCTGGGGAAATGACGTGCCCCAGGTAGTGCACCTTTGGTTGAAAGAAGCTACACTTCTTGAGCTTGAGGGAGATTCCGGCGCTCCTCAACAAGCTCCAGACAGTGTCGAGATGCTTTGCGTGTACGGGAGAACACGATGACATCATCCAGGTAGACGAGGCATATCTGCTATCGGACGCCAGATAGGATGATGTCGAGGGCACGTTGGAAGCTGGCCGGTGCCCCTTTTCGCCCGAACAGCATACGCAAATGGCGAAACGTTCCCATATGCGTAGTGAACGTGGTCTTGTCCCGGTCTTCCGGAGCGACGGGGATCTGCCAATAACCGGAATTGCAGTCCAACGTCGTGAAGACGGCTGCATCTCCGAGTGAATCGATGCAGTCGCGCATCCGGGGCAGCGGATACGAATCCCCTGCCGTCTTCGCATTGGTTGAGACGCCAGTAGTCCACGCAGAACTGAAGAGAGCCATCTTTCTTCGGTACGAGCACCACGGAAGACGCCCACTCGGTGCTGGCGGGTTCGATTACCCCTACGTTCAACATTTTGTTGACTTCCTTGGCAACCATCTCACGCATGGCCGGCCCCTTTCGGTAGAGCATTGAACGTATCGGCTTCGTACCCGGTTCGAGGGGGATGCGGTGTTCGGTCGCTCGGATCGTTCCGAGTGCACCGCTCCACAGACTCGAGTTCTTACGGAGCATCTCGAGTACGTGGCCCCGGAGCTTGTTATCATCGATGTATGACAAGTCAATTCTTTTTCCCAATCCTCTGGCGGATTTTCGGGATCCTTTTTAGAGGCGGGTGCAGTGCCCCCTTCCGGCGGCGGGCACTTCGCCGGTCGGACGTCCGTACCGGCTCCTCTCTCCTCAACGGTTGCCCCCTGGGCGGAGCCTGGTCGACCAGCTCCTGCCGTTCCGACTTGATCGGTCAAGTCGGTGAGGTGTAGCGCGTGCGCGATCCCCTCGGCGACGCGACGTGCGGGCGTCAAGATTGCGAGGGGGTTGCGCTTCGCGTATCCCACGACGGTGTGCTTCGGAAGCCGCCTTTCCCGTCGCGAAAAGTTCGTGACGATGACGTCGAAGGTCTGATTCGGCAAGACCTCTGCGACGCCATTCGTGAGCCTCAATCCATATCGGTGTTGGAGTGACGGCTTCGGATCCATGAACACGAGGCTCCTCCCCGCGGTGGTAACGCGCACTCGGGCTTGCGACCGCGCGGGGATGGTAATCCAGCGGGCGATACGGATCGCCTGCGGGGCTTCGTCGCGTGGGTCAGCCCAGTTTGTCTGACGTCCGTGCCGTCTGGTTGGGACAGTCGGCTCCCCCTTCCCGTCGACGATGGCAACGGAGCCACCTTGGTGGAGCTCCAACCGTTGAGATTCAATATCGATACGTCGTACTTGTGTATTGATGAAGGCCGTGCCAAAAAGGACTGGGACGGCGAGCTGGTCCGCCACGACGAACGGAATTTGGAACGCCGTGTTCCTCAGCCGCACGGACAGACGTACGACGGACGAGAGCTTGAGCGGATTGCTATTCGCGCCTGCCAATCGTGGCAGTAGCGCGTCGCGGATGACGTACCGCGACCAATCGGGAGGAAGGTCGGCCTCCCTCACCAGATTGTACCCCGAGCACGTATCAACGGCGATCGTACGGGGCTTGAAGGCATTTACCTCCGTGGCTATCGAGCCGAGGATGTTGTAAATCTTCGGCGTCATAAGGCAAATGACGCCGTCGACCACTTTCAGCGTGCCCGGCTCGGCGAGATCGTTCCGCCTGGGATACCGGCGCCGGTTCCGACTTCTCTTCGGCGTCCTTCGGCCTTGGTCGCGGGGCGCCCTTCGGTCGGTCGCGTCCCCGCGACAGGTCGCGTTCGTACGCGGCTTGATTTCTTCTGGCGTCCCCAGGTCCCCCTGGGTCTGGCCGCCGGAGCGTTCGATGCGCTTCTTGTTAGGCACTTTGCTCACGGTTGCCACAGTGCCTTCCTCTGTGTGCGCCGGGCTCACGGTTTCCTCGGCGTTTTCGTCATTTCGCACCGAGCTTACGGTGTCTCGGTGCGCTTTTGCGGGGTCGAGGGGAATATTATTGGTAAACATTCCCCTCCTCCGCCGGGGATAACTAGCGGCGGGTCTAGGTTGGTGTGACAAGATGGTTCACGCGACCGCGCTAACGTAACCGTCTTTACGGGGGTTTCGAACTACCTGAGCTGTCAGTGCCATTTGCTCGGCTATCGTTTGCTAACGCGTCGACGGGCCCCTGGCCGCGCGGATGGGGACGGTTTCCGTACCCCGGCTGGGCATCTTCTACGAAGTAATTGGATACTTTTTGGCCTTGGATTGCAGCGTCCGGCCGTTGCAATATTAGAGGGGCGGAGAGAACGGGCTTTCCTCCGCCTCCTTCCGTAGGCTGGGGGTGCGTTTCCCCAGCCCAATCCTGGACGTACATGATGGCGTTCTGTACCCCATGGGGCAACGGGGGTCGGCCCCGTTCGGCTCGCCCATCTCGACGGGGATATGGCGTATTCATCCGACGAGGGTCACGTCGATCGCTTTAATCGGTCCCCGAGTATCGGTAACCGCCTTCACGAGGGGCAAAACGGACGCCCCCACCCGATCGACTCGGTCACCTCGCCGCGGGTCTCTGTCTTCCCGCGCGGGAGACGCGCGTAGACTGCTGGATGAGATTACGCATTCCGGGGCGCGTCTCCATCTGATAGCGGTAGTTCCTGTACGCCGTGAACTGACGTTGTTCAGGCGACAGGAACGGGCACGCGTACATGGCGTGGCCGTACGTCCGGCACAGCCAACAAACGTACGCGCTGCCATCGGTCGACGCGAACGTCTCCGCGTGGCGTGCCTCCTCATCGGTGAGTCGAGGCATGTGAGGCAGCCCGCGGTCTCCTTCTCGACGGGAGATATCCAGCCCGGCCATGTCGTGGTTCGGACCTCTCGTGGCCTTCGGCGTGTGTGCGAACGCCGTTGCAAAGCTTCCGGTGGACCCGGTGGAAGCTGGCGTAGAAGGTCGGCCTCCTGCCCGGTCGAAGCCTTTCGTAATGAGGACAGGGTCGGCCTGCCACTCATCTTCTCCAATGTGAAGGGCGGTCGCCGGAGAACTCGTTCCGTGCGACCTTGGAGTTCGGACTTTCTTCGCTGCCGGCTTCGGGTCCGGCAGCGGCAAGCCGCGACGAGCGCGGTAGGTTGTACCCTCGGCCGTTTCGATACGGCGAATCGTTGAGAGTTCAGTCTTCTGTTGTCCGGGCAACCGTTGTACCGTATCTGCCACTGCGGCCCGGGTCGCAGTGGACAACCCGCGCACAAAGTAGTGCGCGAGAGCTTGTTCTGAGAACACGGCCGTGCATCGGAACGCGGCGGATTCCAGCCGGTCTGCGAACGTGTTCTCGGTTTCGTGAGGAAGCTGTCGCGCCGACGCGACAGCATCAAACGCTTCCCCTAACACGTAGTCGGTTAGGTAGCGTTTGATGAATTGGTTGACGAGACCAGGGCAGCTCGTGTCGTCGTGGAGCTGGCCGGCGCGGAGGCCGCGCATGGTGTAACTCGTATACAACCGCTCCGTGTCCCGCTCGAGTAAGTGAGCCAAGACACGGATTGCCACACCTTCGGTCAGGTGCTGGGCACTGAAGCTTATCCGGATATCCTTCAGGATCGGGAGCAACTGAATCGCGTCGGTACCGTCGAAGCTCTTCATCGTGGGACGGAGCCCAAGGCAGCGTTGGACGTACTTCGCGATCCGTCCCGCATCACCCGAGGTAACGAGCCTCGAGTTGTTGTCCAACCGATACATGCGGTAGTTCGCGACGGCGCTGAACTCCTGTATCATGGTGTGGACGGGCTCGAGCCCCGGTTCGGCGCGGCCCAACGTTCCGAACGGCGTGACGGGCAACGTTCGGACGTCGACGGGGCCGGGATGCGCGGTAAGATCCGCTGGCTGGTAGCCACCCCAACGAGGATCGAAGGGGAGAATCGGTTCCCCTGATCCCCGGGCGACTCCTCCACGGCCCTGGTAGAGTTCAGTCGGTACCCTGCGGCAGGGCTTGAGTCTCGGACGCGAAGTTCGCGTCCGCCGTCGGCTCGGGGTCCTCCGCCCTCCGGCTGCTGACGGCACCAGTCGGGGGCCACTCCTGCGCTCCGGATGCGCCCGGAGGAACAGTGGCACCGGGCCCACTCGAGGGGGCTCCGGGCGGCCTCTCGGCCGAGGTCTGTTCCATCTCACGGGCACCGCGGCGCGTTGAGTTGAGCTCCGCCGCCATGTGCACGAACGCTCCCATCTGTTAGGCTGATGGGAAGGGTTGCGGGTCGCGTCGGACCCCGGAGTTTGCCTTCACCGGTCGACCCGCAACGTCCACGGCGGGGGAATCGATGCGCGCCTCTTCGACCAGTACCAAGCGGAACCGTAGCTGGTCAACGAGAGCGCGCAGGTCCTCCAAGGACTGAGTTACGCGCTCAAACCTTCTTTCGGGGAGGGAGCGCAGCTCATCCATACAGCGGGCGTAGACGCTGTCAGAGACGCCGATACGGAGGGATGTTCGGACATCTTCGATATACTCCGCGATGCGATCGTACATCGCGCGAGCGCGTCCTTCGGAGGAGTCGGGCAACGGTTCGCGGTCTCGAAGATCAGCATCGCCGTCGCCGACTCGGACGCGGAGCGCGGTCTCTCGCACATCAGCGGGCTCGGAGCGAATCGAGGTGGGATACTCGCCACTCATCTCGACGCGTACGGACGCGGAGGTAAACGATAGTCTTCTCGGTTCGATCTTGAGAGTCTTCTAGGTCGGGAGACCACTGTAGTATAATCACCCCAACGACGAGGGGGGTGAGTACTGACAGTTCGGAAAGACCCCGATCGGCGGGAAGATAGAAGCACGGCCCACCCACGGTATCGAACACGGGCTCGAGGTAGCGGTGGTAGAGCGGGGTCGGAGAGGGCGCGCGCACGCGCGAGCGGTTCTAAGCCTCGACGCCCCGGAGCGGTACTGGGTGACGATCCAGTACCGACGGGCGGAGGCGAAGCGGGCTCGTGGGCGTGCTGCGCGCATCCTCAACCCGCGCGCGGTGCTACTCTTAGGTAAAACGGACGGAAGTACCTGAGAGTAAGCGGGCGGATCAAGGTGGAGGATCCTTGACAAGTCCGTGCTCGTCGTCCTCCACCGCCGGCGGTCCGCTCATATGTAATATACAGAGTCACCTATCATAACATTACAGTAGTGCAGGTTGGCCTGCGCTGTAGTGCTGTCAGCCGTCGGGGCTGGCAGCACACGTGTCTTACACGTGTGTGTGCACGCCCCCGTACACGTGGGGTACACGTGTGCGCGCGCACTGAGGTACTGTAGAGCTCGGGCTCTACAGTTATAAATCTAATCTAAATCTAATTCTAAGAGGGGGATATGCTACAGCTACTATTTTTGCG